TTGCCAACCAAAGCCGTAAAAAGTAGAAAGAGAACTTTTAATACACTAAGTTGCTTAGCGTATGCCCAAAAAGTCAATGCAATATATTTTTAACAAAATCAGCTTCTTGTCTCGATTAACATTCAAAATTGTGTTTGTCCCATTAGAGGGCAATTTGGGCATATTTGTGTTTCTTTTTGTTTGTTTTGCTACTTGGTACTTTTTTCCCTGATCAAAACTATAATATAAGGTATCTTTCCACAAGCAAATGCAGGATTCTCTTGTATTTGATTCTCCGATTATTTTGATTCTAGCTTTCATAGTTTTGCAAGTACATAGCAATAAACCAATGTTTGTAAGAAATGTTTTAGAAAGTGTTTTCACAATTTAAATAGAAAACTCACTAAGCCAATATGATAATTTGTGTCCTAACTGACCTGACTCAGTTATGGGGAAAAGAATGCACAGTTCTCTTATTTCTTTTTATTTCTCGTGGGGTATAAATTTACCAAAAAGGTGCATGTTGTAATGAGGACCCTGTAATCGTTCAATTCTGTTACATGTATTGCAACACGCAGGACTATCTCTTGATTTGCGAGGTAGTGAAGTCAACACAACGCAGAATTCTGTCAATGCAGCTGATCCCCTCTACGCACGGCTCGCTGTTGACCGAGACCTCAGTACATTCTCGCACACTGGTAAGTCTTTCACCGCCTCTCACACAAGTCAACCGGAAGTCATAATCATCTCAGTTTAATGTGGCAGAAAATGAAAAGGATAAAAATCTTCTGATAACACACTGTAGTGAGGCAAATACCATTTAGTGCTTTAATGAATATAGAATTTGTCTAGAAGCGTAGTGTTGAAGGATTTATATGCTGAACACGTAAAGCACTTATGAAATTCTGATACAATGCAAACTAATTTTTCACTCAGTACGTGAGTGAAGAAAACAACTCAAATTCATCGGTAAATTTACAATTTTAGAAAAGCCAGTAACATACTTAATTTACCCTTCTGAGTGATTCTTTCTGTATGAACAATGTTATACACTTGAACAATTGCGGATGCTGAACATTATGATCCTCGTGAACTGATGAGGGAACGTTGACCTCTGTGTATACTGTTAGTACTTGTGGAAATTCCCTGTGGTATATAGCATGGTTCCTACTCATTCAAACAGGTTGGAGAACACGAGAGGAACGCACCAACCCTTGGTGGAAAGTTGACCTCGGCGGTGTCTACTGTTTGAGGAAAATCGCACTTGTAAATTCAAGACATTTTGGCAAGTATTCAGTGCATACCTGGGTGGAAAGGCGGGATCGGTTAAAGGAAACGTGAAAAGACAGGGTGACTGACTATTTAAGACGATGGCAATTTTCTAATATTTTATACACTGGGAGACATAAACGGATATGTAGGGTTTGTACTTCTTAGTGGCAAACCTTCCATTTTCCTATTCCAGAGACGTGATGGGAAGGCCTACAGGGCCTCCACAACTGGAGAGAAGTTTTCAGTGTGGAAACAGTATTGCTGATGAATATGCATTTCCAGGTGACAGCTGTCTACCCATGAACACCATCAGCCATTCTGCCTCCCAATTCTCTACAGCTAACTCGCTACGCACGTTTGAACAGCTTTCTTCAAAACACGATGTTTCTTGCGCATAAATGCTGATACGGACAGTATAGAGTAAACAGCTCTAGTCCCTTTGAAAAAACTGTTCTATTTAATTTGTTTTAGAGACGAACGTGTCAGCAGAACCCTGTCATTGCTGGAACAAGACTGACCCAGTTACCAATGTCTTCCCCACCCCCTATTTTTAAGAGACAAAGTGTAGGGCACGTAGGTATTATGTGAGATCACGTTATCTTTCCTTGTGATGAAACAGAGCATTTGGTTTTCAGTGAACTTAACAGTCCTGTGGTGATCAACATGTTGTCGGCCAGTCTCAGCCAAAATCGTACAAAGATTTGAAAATTGATGCTTTGGAGTGAAAAACAAAATTAAAAACATTGCATGCGTAATAGAAAACTGATTCAGACTCTAAACAAAAGATATTTCACAACAGCAAAAGTAAATCTTACGTTAGATTTTTT